TGCTCAGCGCTGGGCCGCCGCCGCCAGCCGGCCGCAGGGCCGCGGAAACGGAAGGGAGGAGGGGGCCGGGGAAGAATGGCCGCGCGCAGAGCCCGCGCCCAGCTCTCCCCAGGGCCGGCAGCGCCCGGGAACACGGGGAAGGGCCGAGGTGGGGGTGGGGTGAGGGTGGGCGCAGGGCGAGGCCCCAGGCGGGTGTCGGCCCAGGGAAGCGCGAGTGCTCAGGGACTGCGGGCAGGCTGGCAGTCGTAGCACCAGGCCAGGGCAGCCCCAGCAGAGGGCGAGGGGAAGCCTAGTCCAGGCCCTCCCCACCCCACTGGATTCCCCAAGGAGAGCTCGGGCGCCAGCCTCCATTTGAATAAAATTTCCAAGTAAATATCCTGAGGAGAGGTCTGCTTCTCAGGCATAGATCCTGACAGTATCTTTCCCACCTCTCTACCCCCAGGCTGGGGCTTCCTGTCCCAAGGGAACCCTGGAGCAGGGGGTGGGGAGTGGGGCTTTATGATGGAGTTCCCCACATGGGACCCAGGCTCCCCACAGCAAGTCATCTTGGTTCAGTCAGGCCCCACCATAAACCCTCAGCCCTGCCGCTGGTGGCCAGGTCATTTCAGCCCAGGAAGACACTGAATAACTGGGACACAGACCCAGTTCCTCTCCATCCTGTTAGAAACCAGTATTTAGGGAGTGGAAATGCTCAGCAACCAAGGCCCAAGGGGTCACTTGCCCCATCCTCCTGGGACTTACTTCCAACTACCGTCCCCAGATCCCTGCAGGAGGCCCTAGAGCCCCTTGGAGACTCTGGCCTGACACAGGCCCCACCTACAGGGAGGCCGGGCAGAAGTAGGCCCCCAATCCCTACCCCATCCCCAGACAGGACGGAGTCCGCGGTCCTGGGAAGAGCTATGACACCACACCGGAGACCAGGCCTGGTTTGCATAGTCGGCACGTTTAATCACTTTAAAACCTCTAACATTATCTCGTGTCCATTAAATAGAACCAACAATGCTGGGCTTGTTTAAATTACAAGAAAAAAAAATCACTGTGCACCAACCCAGTATCTTACAAAACCAGCTGGGCTGGCCACGAGGGTGGGGGAGATGGGAGAGGAGGGGTCGTCCCTGGGCAGGTGGCTGGGTACCAGGAACGGCTAGGGGAGAGAAAGAAAGGGGGGCTCCCAGATGGGAGGGGACTGATTGTCCTAATGGGAGGGGTGCAAAAGGCACATCAGAAGAGGGGGTTTCGGGGGCATGACAGGTCAGTGCTTTCTCCACCAGGGCACAGTGTTGGAGGGGCTCGGTGCCACCCCCACCCACCCCTGGCACTTGGAGAGCCAGTGACCCATGAGCCCTTGGCACAAGCCCCATTTCAAACACAGATGTCAGCCTGCCCCTCCCACCGTGACCCCCTTTCCTAGAGCCCACCTGGCTAGCCTGCCACTTTTGGACTCGGGGCTGAGCTCCTCCTCACTCCTCAGCAACATGCTGCAGCCCTTACAGCTCAGGGCCAGGGCAGCCAGGGGAAGAGCAGGGTGGACGGTGGGTATGAGACGGTGGGTGGTCCAGCTGCTACCCCCGTTAAAAATACAAAAAAAAGAAAAAAAAAACATCTAAAGTGAAATAATCACAAAGTGAAAATATATCCTCAAACAGCCCCTGAGATCCCCACAGGGGAAAGCAGCATTGGGTAGGAGGCGGGAGAGGCCGGCTGGGCCACCGTCCCTCCCCACCACCCACCCAGGGGCTCCAGGACTGTGAGTGCCAACAGCCCAGGAAGCCCCGGGCTCAGAAAACAGGGACTTGGGCCCTGGTGGGAGGGGAGGGGACCAGAACGGAAGGTGGTCAGGACACCAGCATGGGGCTCAGCAGGGCTTCAGCCTTGGCCCATACCAGCCTCACTCGGCCTGGCAGCCATCTGTGGTGGAGGCACTGGGCAGAGGCAGGCAAAGGGACACGCACACGCACACCCTGAAGCACCTGCCTTGCCTTGGTCCCTTCCTATGATCACTTCTGCCGAGGCTCATCAGAGATGGGGGACAGGGTTGAGGATGGAAAAGCCCTTGGAGAGGTGGCTGCCTCTTTCGAATACCTCCTAGGCCAGCCTCCCTGCTGCCTGGATGGGGACCATTATTGCTTTAGAGGGACAGGGAAGGGGGGCAAGAGCTGCAGCCTGGGTCAGGAATCCTAAAAAGGAAGGGCTGCCTTGCTTCCCTCGGCAGGAACTCCGGCTGGGGCCTGGGCAAGTTATCCTAAAGGTTTCACTCCTTTCTCCACATGGAAGGGGCACTCTGGGTGGGGTGAGGCCCTCCCCTGGCCCCCAGCTGGTCCTGGGGCCCACCTTAGGCAGCCAGGTGGGCCGCAGGTGGGTGGGAAGCAGTCTCTGACCCTCTGGACTACCAGCTGGGGTCCAAGCCCCATCCCAAGATAAAAAAATACTTTGGTGAATTAAAAAGTGCCCAAGGAGGGGATCAGCTTGAGGGGGCAGGCAGTGGGCTCGTCAAAGGGCGCTCTGGTCTTTGATAAAGGCGGTCCTCTCGCCCCTGCCCTCATCCTCTTCTGAGTCGGACGGACACTCCTCCTGCCAGGCTTCAGGGGGCAGCCCCTTGTAGGAGATGAGGCCCCGGTCCATGGTGTACACCTTCACCCCCCGGAAGCTGAAGCCCGAGCGCAGCTGCAGGACCAGGAAGACAGTGACGAAGACCAACACAATGAAGGCGCAGCTGAGGCCAGCCACCACCTCAGGCAGGTGCGAGGGCAGCAGCCCTGCCCGTGGCCGTGGCTCCGTCTCCACTTCCAGGGGCGGCCGGGGTTGTGGCTGCTGTGGTGGGGACTCGCGGCTGCTCTGGCTTTGCCGGGAGCATGTCTGCTCCACAGGGTCCAGGGAGGCGTGGCTGGGGCAGCTGAGGCAGTCTGTGGGGGCTGGCCCCTGACATGTGGCACATGAGGCGTGGCAGGGGGTACAGATGCTGGCCTGGATGGTCTCCACGTCATTCTCAGTGTTATAGTGTGTATCAAGGACTTGGGGAGCGAAGCCTGGAGGGCAGCGCTGGACACAGCTCTTCTGGTGCAGGGAGAAGCCTTCCTCACATACTGCCAGTGTGGGAGAGAAGAGGGGTGGATGTCAGCTGATTGCACCATGGTCAAAGTGGCACATGAACCCTCAGGCCCAGGACCATGGCATCGCAAGCATAGTCACCACAGTCCCCAGGAGCCCCCAGCCCTATAACTGTGGTCATCCCAAGGGCCCCAGGAGCCCCAGGGTCCCCCAGCCTTAGGCTCCCAAACTCCAAAGCACCCACTACTGACCCACACAGGCCTGGCTGGACGTGGGGGTCTTGCAGCCACTGCTCTCGGGAGGTGTGGGTAGCCCCTCAGAGGCTGTGCCATATAGTACGAGGGTGAACTTGGTCAGCGTCCCTATTCCAGAGTGGGTGAGGAGGCAAGAGTCAGAGGGCACTGGCACCATGCCGGGCATCCTACGTCCTGCCAGCTCTCCTCCTCACCCTCCCACGCGCCCCCAATACCATAGTTGTTGGCTTCGCTGGTGTTTTCAATCTCCAGGACCCACTCGCCAGAGGGGTCCTCATCCCAGGAATGGGTTGTCATGAAAGCCCAATCATTAAATCCATCTGCAGAATAGTCGTGAGGCCTGGGGGAGGGGTTGCACATAGCCATCTGAGGTCTTGGGGGACTCCAGGCCAGGAGACACCTAACCCAAACACATGGACCATGCACCCTTCCCCCCATGCAGCACCAACCCTGCTGGGCTGAAAATACCTATTTGCTCAGCTGCTTGCCAGGCCAGGTGTTCTCAAACAAGGGATTCTAAAAAGGTACAAGGGCACTGCACAAGGGGCAGCACCTAATGGCATCAAATGGGTAGAAGCCAGGGATGTCTGCAGTACGGGCCAGTCCAACAGGACAAAGCTGTCCCTCTCAAAATGCCCACAGTGCCCCGTTGGTAGTGTTTGATGACAGTGAGGGGTGTCTGAGTGAGTGAGGGAATGCACATGGGCTGTGAGGGAGGGGAGGAACCGGGCAGAGGATAGAGCAAGCACCTGGCAGCCAGCAGGGTGGAGCGGGTGCCCAAGGGGCTGACTAGGTGGATGGCCAGGTCACCACGGCGATTGTAGGACAGGGTGAGCCGTGCCTGAGCATGCTCCAGACGGGTGATGTGGTTGGGCTCGCCCAGGCACGCGGTCACAGTCTTCCGCACCTCTAGCCGTTTCCCAATGTCCCTGTGCAGAGAGCACCACGATGGTCTGTCAACCTGGCCCAGAGAGACCAGCAGGCACCCCCTGCAACTCTCAGGCCCCACCCGCCCCCTCCCAGCCCAGGTTCAGCCCTCACTTGGGGTCAGTGAGGATGTCGATGATGCACTTCCTCTGGGGGGCCACTGTTGTCCAGTTCTGGGCCAAGGCCACCATGGCACCTGCGTCCAACAGCCCATAGCCGTATGAGTGGCTCACTGTGGGGGCAGGGAAGGTGGAGTCAGCTGGGAGGCACAGAGTCTCCCCTACAACCTACCCCTAAGCCCAGCCCACTGGACTACCCTGCTCTCACCTTTCCGGCCCACACCATTGGTGGCCCAATCGTTAGCATTGAGGTGGGCTGGCTTTGAGGTCTGTACCACCAGGTGCTGCATGTCCCGCCAGGTGAGGTTCTTACTGAAAAGAAGGAAGGGAGAGGGCAGGGCTCAATCTTTTTTGGAAAGAAGCTGGAGATTAAGGGCTGCCCTACAGAGAGTGCTGGTGGAAACAGGGTTGGCCCTCAGTCCCCCACCCACTTACTTGGCCTCCAGGGTGAGAGCGATGATGCCGGCTGCCAGGGGGGCAGAGGCTGAGGTGCCCGTGTGAGACTCTGTGCATTTCTGCCGCAAGTCAGTGGTCACCTACCAGGAGGACAATTGTGTTGGGGCCTGTGATAGTGGAGGGGGCTAGAGGGGGCCAGAGGGGCCACCTGCCTGCCTTCCTTCTGCCTACAGGCCCTGGGCACCACAGATGGTATGATGAACTAGCGCCAAGACACCTCAGTCCCAGCTGCTGCTACCTCGCTGTGGACAGGCCAATGCCTGGCCCTTTCTGATCCTCAGTCTCCCAAGGAATAAGGGGGTCCAACTAGAAGCTGGAGATCATTACTAGCAATGAATGTTTTGGGGGACAGTCTGTGCTTCACATGGGCTTCCCAGAGGGCTCCATGGCCCCTGAGTTTTAGCAAGCCCCCAAGATCACATTCCATAATGCCAGAGCCACTCTCAGCCAGCCACGTGGGGGTGAGAGGGAGATGGGGCCCAAAAGGGGCCCTGGGCAGAGCCAGCAAGCAGCCCCATTTCCCCAGCCCTAACTAGGGCAAGACTCACAATCTGCTTCTCGTTCTGGTTGCCACTGCTGTAGGTCGTGGCCAGTGTGGATGAGCAGGCCTCGCTGTACCAGGGCACATTGCCGAACTGCGTGGCGCTGCTGATGGACAGCGTATAGATGCTGTTGGTGTAGCCGTCGCAGTTGCAGCTGTCATGTTCCCGGCCCCCGTTCCCTGAGGCCCAGACAAATATGGAACCCAGCCCCCCTCGGCCCTGTGGACAGAGTGGGCTGGGGTCACTCAGGATCAGGCCTTGGGAGGCCTGCCAAGATGCTGCTGGAGACTGGGAAGGCAGGAGCCTAATTCTCTGGGGACCCCTGTCCACTTCCCAGGTCCACTGTGAGATCCCTAGTGGATCAGGTATGTATGCAAATATTTCTACATACCAAAAAATAGACTGGACCACTACCAAAATGCTCAGTGGTGATTTCCAAGGGGTAGGATTATAGGTGATTTTTATTTACTCTTCTCCTGTCCCTTAATGTTTTAATATGCATGCTTTGTGTAAAATCAAAATTAGATGCAAGAATAAATAAAACTGAAGAACACAAGGAAGGGAGCTATGGAAAAGTCAGTGCCCAGCTTATCCCCAGAGGCTGGGCCCAGAACCCCCCGCCTCACCTGGCTGACACCCCGGAAGAAAGCCTCTTCGGCAAGGCGGGCTGGCCCGTCCACCGTCTTGCCGTCGTCCTCGGGGCCCCAGCTGGCACTGTAGATGTGGATGTGGTTGGGATTCAGGCCCAGCGAGCGTGCTTCCACTGCATCTGTCACCTCACCATCCAGCATGCGCACCCCTGGCCACAGAGGAGGGTGGGAAGAGGGATGTGCGTGGGTCCAGCTGCCAAGGGCACCCCCGGGACCACACCCACCCCTGCACCTCATGGATGGGTAGGGTAGGAGAGGGGCTGGTGCTGGGAAACCCTGAGCCCCTAACTATCTGTCTGCCTCTGTCTTTCAAAGTCAAGACACAGAGAAGACAAAAAAGGACACTTCCTGCCCCCCGACACACATTCTAGACTAGAGTCTCTGCTTCTCAGAGGAGCTTGGTAATCTCAGAGGAGCCTGCCATGTAAAGGCTCAGGATGGGTTATGAAGATTTGTGGAGACTCCTGCTAAGAAACACCTACCCCATCAGGCCACCAGCACTGGGGGTCCAGCTCTTTGAGTTGCTAAGAAACTTCTGGAATATCCATGTGGTCAAAAGGATCCACAGTGGGAAAGTGGCAGGCATTGGCCAGATGTGAAGCGGCCAGAGAAAAAGCCCACCCGAAGGGCCCTCCCAAAGACAGAGTGGCCAAGGCCCACACCCACCTCCAATGCGGGCATTGTAGGCCACGCCTACACCACAGACACCATTGTTGGCCACCGCAGCCACTTCACCCGCACACCGTGTGCCATGCCTGCCAGAGCCAAAAGCAAAGCATTAGTGGGGTGGACAGAGCTTTGCAAATGCAGCCTGAGCTGCAGAGAGGATCAGCCCCTCTATCCATGACCACTGTCCCATGGCTGCACACAGTTCCTTCCCCTGGACATGTTCCACTGGGCCTATGGCTATCTCCACTCTGGCCAAACCCTCTGAGCCCAGCTGGACCAGGACTGTGGACACAGACTTCAGCCTCTTGGTTGGGGGCATGTCTCGCCCACACTCAGCCCTGTCTCCTTGGTGGAAGAGTGGAGAAGGGAGGCAGAGACCAGGGGCCTGCTGTTTCTCACCTGTTGTCATTCATCTGCGTGTACCGAGGTTGGGGGTCAGGGTCCTGGTCATTGACATCAAAACTGGCCCCAGGATCCTGGGAATGACATGGCCATGGTGAGCAACAGCCTGGCTACACTAGGAGAACAGGTTGGCCCCTAGACACCCCTCACCGGGGATCAATGCCTCCCTCCCCCGCCTCCTCACATAATTGCCTGCCAAGTCTGGGTGGTTCTTCTCAATGCCATCATCCAGAATGGAGACCACAATGCCGTGCCCTGTGTAGCCCTGGGCCCAGGCCTCCTTCACATTCAGGTCTCGCTGCGCGATGCCAGACTGCGGAGACACCCACCACCATCACTTACAAGATAAGGTTGGTTGTGTGAGGTTAGAGGTACCTTGAAGAACCCTCTCACTGCCCCAAAAGCTCCTTCTCTGCCCATCCCTGCCCCTGAAATGTCTCTATTGGTTGTCTGGGCTCCATGGAAATGTAAAGAACTCTGGGAGGGCAACCCCCAGACTCAGCGGGATGGGCGAGTGAAAGAATGCCCACCAGAAGGAAAGAAAAAGAATAAGAGGAGGCCTCAAAGTCAGCCTCATCCATCCCCAGGACCTCACAGGAGATAGCTGGTTCAGATCCTGGAACCAGCCAGTTGCCAAAAAACAAAAACAGTGGATAGTGGGGTGCAGCTGGGGAGGAAGACCCAAGCCTCGAAGAGCATACCAGGTACCATTGCTGGGGAAACTTGGGATCTGTGGGCTCCTGGTACACGTCCCGTTTGGTCCGTTGCTTTGCCACCTGCTGCTCCAGCCACTGTACCTGTGAGGAAGTGAGAGAAAAGTGGTGTGGGTGGAGGAGGGGGAGGAAGCACGAGGGGCTCTGAGAACAGGAAAGGGAGGGTGGTGGGAGGGGCTGGGGCCACGCTCACTTGAGGCTCTCTCTGCAGCCGTCTGTGCCGCGGGCGGTGAGGCGACAGGGACCGCTTTGTCACTGCTCGATGCCAGAAGTGGTAATAGTCGCCGAAGATCTGCAATAGAGCAGGAAGACTGAGAGCTGGGCTCTCCATCTGTCAGTCCCCAGGGAGGAGGGGGATGGGGGTAGACAACGGCTACTAGGGAAGTCTCACAACAGCAGGGCTGGGGGGCATTTGCTCTCTGCCCGGGACCCAGCAAGAACATGCAGGGGACACAGAGGGACTCACCCTCACTGGGATACGCTGGTCTTCTGAGCGACCTATGCTAAAAGTCCACAGGCAGTACATGCCTCTGCTCCCACCCAGAATGTGCCTGTTAGCTACATGCCCCTGAGAAGACAAGCCCAACAGTTCTGGCTCCCCGATGCCAGAATCCCTGCCCTCTCTGGCTCCACCCCTAGCAATGTCCTGTGCCTAGGCCAGCAGGCTGGCTAAGAACACCTACCTGGCCTAGGTTGAGGAACCCATGCTTTCGTGCCACACTATCAGCCACTGCCAGGCCTCCGGGGATGTGCACAGCCCATGTGTTGGTGAAGACCTTCTGGTCACGGGCATCAGCTGTCAGCAGGACCAAGGCTCCTGCTGCTGCTACCACCCATAGCAACCAGGGCCTCAGCTCCATGGGGGGGCAGGTGGCTGGGACCCTGGAGCTTCCGTCTCCTTGGCCTGGTCACAGGACCTTGGCTCCCACGTGCCTCCTCACTGCCTGTGGCCCGGAGCTGACTGGCGGGGGCATGGGGCCGAGACAGCCAGGGCTGGGGGAAGAGGATGAAGGCTGCCAGCTCTGAGAGGAACAAGGGGGAGGAGAGGGGAGAGTCAGTCCCCCCCAACCCAGGCACTCAAGCCACCCTTCCCACCCCACGGCTCAATCTGGGCCTGAAAGGGGCTCTGGTGGAGAAGGATAAAAGACGAGTCCTCCCTAGAAGAAACTCAGCCCCCCAGAGTCAGCCAGATAGATGGACAGATGGACCCCCACACACACATCCCCCTCTCAAGCCCATCTCCACACAAGAATATGAGAAGTGCAACTCAAGAAGTAGGATGGAGAATATCCAGGCTTCAGTCACTCAAACAGAAACAACAAATGAATAAATGCCATAATCTAAGTTAAAAAGATGCATTATAAAGCAGCACGTACACATGATCCCATTTTGTTTTGTAAAAACTATTTATACATGTGTATTTATATATAACCCGAAACAAAATCTGGAAGGACACACGCTAAAATGTTAACAATGGTTCTCTCAAGATGGTGAAAACTACAAGTAATTGTTACTTTCTTCTTTATGTCATTGTATATTCTCCAAATTTACAAATACCTAGGTATATTTTATAAAGGCATAAAATGTTGGCTTTTTAGTTTTTTTTAATGAACAGCGTCTACATAACTCACTAGAGTTTCTTGGTTCATCAAAGCAGATTCAGCCATAGGAAGTTATCTGCAGAGATGCAGAGACCCCGAGCCCCTGGGGGAAAGAGTGGGTGAGCCTAGGTTGGATGGGGCTTTGAGGTCCATGCTCTAAACACGGGGGATCTCAGAGGCTTTACCTCCTTCTATGGCTGAGATGGCAGCCATCGGCAAAGTCAGGGGCCCAGGCTTTTTCTACTGTTTCCTGGGGAACGCCAGGGCCGCCCAGCCCTGCCCTGCCTGGGCCTGGAGGCCCCCCAGCCACCCCCTTGCTCACTCCACGCCCACCAGCCTTGCGTAATCCGAGCCCAGGCAGCCAGGGCAAACACTGGCTGCTGAGCCAGGAGCGCCAAGGTGAGGCTGAATCAATAGTCCGCGTGTTGTTTTTCCTCCTTCAGCAAACAGACAGCGGGACCTCTCTGTCTGGGGCCACATAACTGTCCCCACAAAGGGCCCCTGACTAGCCAGAAGCCAAGCCGCTGGGACGGGGAGAAGCTGGGGGAGGTCCCACTGAGGCTGCTGTGGGTATCCCATCTCATTGCCAAGCTTCTTGAGCAGCACCCACAGGGCCCCAGATGCCCCTACAACTCTCATAGCTCAGCCCCAAAGGAGGCCACTCTTTGCTGAATGGCAAAATGAAGGTACCCCGCTCACACAGGTCCTGGGGAACTGGGCAGGCAGGCTTGTCACTGGGAACCCTTTACTTTTCCAGGGGCTGCCCTCAGCTACACTGGACTCCCTTGCTGCAGCAGTCTCACCCTGCAGGCTGGGGGACTCCATACACAATTCCTGGAGTATTTTCAGTTTAGACCAAAATAACCTAACAGCTGATGGCAAGAGACATGCACAAAGCAGCTCCTCCACACCCCTGATAGGCAGAGTCTACAGGGCTCTATGGCAGGTCTGGGAGCCCCAGCCCCATGACGTCCGGGGTGGCTGGTTCCAGAAGAACATAGGAGCAATGGCTGAGCAGCTAGACACCCAGAGCTAGGGGATGAAGGGACCCCGAGTCCCTCATTTAATGGAGGACGTGGGGCCCTGGGGACATTACCATACAGGAACAGGGCCTCTTCTCCCATTCTTGCCACTACAACCAACAGATGCCTCTTGGGTCCAGATGTCATGCAAAGCCCCCAAACCACAGTGCTGTGAGCCCTGCTTGAGCCCCAAATCAAGGCTGAGTTCATCTGGGTCTACCCCAGGTTCCAGCACGGCTGTGGATGGAGCCGCAGCTGCTTGGCGTTAAAAGTGATTAACCAACTATTTAATTACCTTGCAGCACCCGGAAAGAAAGCAGGCTTCAGACACAGCCCAACAATTCCCCAAGAAAGAGGGCCTGCCTCCCTCTGCCCAGCGTCCCCAGTCATGGTGACTGGTAGATATGGCTTCTAAATCCCTGAAGCCCCACAAACAGCTCTGCCTCAGCATTCAGGAGGAAAGATACCCCCAAAAGAGTAAGAGCTGAGAACAATGAATGAATGGGATTCTCCCCACCCCCATCCCAGACTCTGACTCACCCTCTGAAGTCCCAGTTTGTCTCAAATGTGGAGGCTTGCTGTATTTCTAGCCTCTTGTGATGGGTCTCACATGGGACTCAGCTCGAGGCTGTGGCCATAGAGAGCTGTGAGTGCTCTTCCTGGCTGTGTTCTTGGGCAAAGCCCGTTTGTCCAGCCCCAGAATATGTCAACACAGACAGCCACTCCGGGGTACCCAAGCTGCACCTACCTATCCCCAGGTCCGGCTGTTGTTTCCCAGGCCCTGGGGGTCTGGCTTGGACACAGTCACAGAGCAAGCCACTGGAGGGCCACTCTGAAACCCAATCGGGTTTCTCTTTCCAGCAAAGAGACACCAAGCCAGGTCCTGTTACAGGCACTGGGAGGCTCCTAGGAAATTCTTAGTTCCAGTCCCTGCTCTATTATTTGCTGCGTGATCTTGAACAAGTCACCCCCCCCCCCCCTTTTCCTTGGGGGTTAAAACAAAGAGACACCAAGCCAGGTCCTGTTACAGGCACTGGGAGGCTCCTAGGAAATTCTTAGTTCCAGTCCCTGCTCTATTATTTGCTGCGTGATCTTGAACAAGTCACCCCCCCCCCCCCGTTTCCTTGGTGGTTAAAAACTGCTAGAACAGCGGTTTACAAACTTTTTTTAAAAAGCCACAGAATCCCTTTTTTAAAAAATCAAATCTCACGTGGAAGCCCAACAGAGGAAATAGTAAAACTTGGGCTGCTGTGGTTGACATGAGGCCAGGTTCAGCTACTCTCCTATGCCGTGTCCACACCTAGCCAGCAGCCGCCCAGCCCTCATAGGCCACATCACCTGGGTTCCCCTCGCACTTCCCAGAACAGAAAGAGAATCCCAACATTCACCAGATGAGGGTCTGCACCCCCAGGGGCAAGAGGTTGGAGGATGGTAGGAAAACAGGTACTGACCAGACAAGTGACTGCCGTCAGACCTGTCTGGCAAGCAAGCCGTCCCTCAGTCCAGCCACCCCACGGGGGCAGCAGGGGCCTCTTCCAGGCCTTGGCAGGAGGCAGGCAGCTCCGGAACCTACCTGAGCCGGCCTGCCAGCGCCTGCGAATCCCGCACCTGAGTCTTCCCGCCGCACAGGTGTGCGGACGGAGGTGAGGCCCCGGCCGTGAATAATCCATTCGCCTCGCGAACAGCCGCTCCTCCCCTCCCCCGGCGGGGCGCAGGCCCTTCCCGGCCGCGGAGTGGGCGAGCCAGCGGTGGCCCCCGAGAACGACGGGGAGGCGGGAGCGCCCGGCGCCTCCGGAATTCTCTCCCCATCCCTCCCCCAGCAGGGGCCCCGCGGGCGTTTCCTGAGGTCAGAGGGCTCGCCCTGGCCCCAAGCGGAAAAGTACCGACAGGGGCCGGAGCCGGGGGCCGAGACGGGCCCGGCGCGCTCAGGTGGGCTGCGGGG